ACTGGAACGTGCCGTTCTTCTCGTGGATGGTCGTACATTTACCCGTGGCCTTATTCATAATATGACTCAGGGATCCCCGTTAAGGTCCTTGTCGAATACAACTCTGTTTCCAGCGTTTACCATTTCTCTGACAGATCCCAGAACTTTGTTGACTTCCGCCACTTGAATTGGCATGCTGACTGAGTTTCCATGTTCATTCTTGCCGGTGACTACTCGCTGCCCATAATTCTTTATCGTCGTTCCGTTTGCCGCGCTGTAGTGTCTTCCCTGCTTTGACGCATCTGTCTGTTTAATGGGGAAGTAGGTGCCTATTCTTGGGGGTCCTACCGTGTTGTACGCTCCAGAGTCCACGGTGACCACGATTGTTTCGTGCGTTGTGCTCTGAGGTGGCACCGCGTTAATTTCTGGATCACAGTCTCGCATTTCGATTAGCCCAATTTCTCCACATTTCTCCAACCAACTCTTTTCCTGCTTTATGCTTTTACTTATCCTCTGGCCCCACTGATTTACATGATTGCATTTCCCGTTACACTGATGCTCCTGGTAAGCTTTTCTCAGGTCCACTGCGACTTTACGCGCCATTTTCTTTCTGGAATGCGAGGGCAGTGCCCATTGTCCGTTAATATCCTCAGCTGTGGGCGGTTCCGGTGGCACGTTCACTTCATCATTCATTTCAACGCTGAGCACATGCTGCGGTTGGCCAAACGAGGTGGTTTGTTCACTTTCCGCGTTTACCGTTGGTCTCTCTTGCTCAACTTCGTTGGCGGTCTTCTTGAGACCTGGGCAGTTAACGGCAATGTGCCCTTTAGCGCCACACTTGTAGCACTCACGCTCGCTGTGGGGGGTAAATCTTCCTTGGCCACCGTACCTTCCACCCCGCGAGCCGCCACCTTTACCACCTTGTTTGCCTCCAATCTTACCTTTCATGTAGGACCCATAGGTGGCACGGTAACCTTTGCCTTTGCCGCCTTTGCCACTTTTGCCTCCTTTCGTGAACTGTTTAGGCTTTGTGCAGTTCCTGGTTAAATGACCCATGCCTCCGCAATTGTAACATTTGGGGCCTGAGCCTTTGCCTTTACCCTTGTTTACGGCGTCGACTTCCTCATGATCTCCAGTTTCACTTTCATTAGCCCAGGACCCGTAACTCCAAGATCCGTCCTCTGGCCACCAATTTCCAGCTTCGTCAACCCATCCTGTCTGATCCCAGACATTTTCGGACCCTTGACTTGTCTCGTTAATATTTCCTATGTCCATCGCATCTTTATTTTTAGTGTCTGAGTCGAGTTTCTTTTTACGCGCCCAATCTTCACACTTGGAGTATAGCTTTTGGAACGAGTCAATGTTAAGTGCGTCGGGTGTCCGCCAACACGCCTGCTGCCACTCGTCAAACCAATCATTCGCATGCACCATTATTGCCCTGAGCGCGGTAACCTTAAAGGGGAGGGGCAGTGAGTAATCCTTGCCATACTTTTCAAGATTCTCCGCTAACGCGCTCCACTCCTCAAGTCGGGCAACGGTATCGGTAATTTTCTTGGGCGGCTCAGGGTTCATAGCGCGCGTCATCTTTGAGGAAAGGGTCGCTCCGGTAACAGCCGAGTACCATTTGTAAACCTTTTGCCAAGCCATAATTCCGTCACCATCCATGAGTCCCTTTAAATTTCCCCTTGCTTCTGCACCTTCAAGCTTTTCGTTAAGGATGTACCATGAGTCTTCTTCCATTTGAGTTTTGTCTCCCTCGGTAAACTCATAATCTCCTTTGTTGTCATCCTCTGCTTGTTTAGCTTGGTTTGCCTTTAAGTATTCGCTTGCTGTTAACCGACCGTTCATTATGCGTATGATATCATCATCATCTTCCTCTGGGACAACTCCGTCGAGTGTCTCCAACTTCTTGTTCAACATTTTCAGTGCCGGTCGGTAACTCGGTTTTACTTGGGCAAGCGCGTTTAAGAACTTGTCGCTCCAGTCTCTGAACTTTGCTCTTTCTCCACTGAAGTTCTTTAACGCCTGTAAGGCTTTGTACTCGCTTATCGGTTTACCGCTCCCGTGCTTACTTCCGCTTCCGCCTTTGATTGCTTCCGAAAGTTGACCAAATTTTTCAAGTAACTTCTCTTGTGCTTCGCTGTTGGTCTCCAACTCGGTAACTCTTTCTACCAACCTGCGAGCATCCCTTTCAAGCGCAGCGTTTCTCTTCGTTATCGCTAACAACATGCTGTTGGTCTTCTGAGCGCTCTGTAACATTTGAAATGCCTCAACGTTCGATACTTCCCTTCGGTCCTGTATTACTCGCTCGTTAATGAACGTCGCAAGTCCTTAATGATTTGCAAGTAACGCCGTCTGAACGTAACTGAAGTCCCCGTTCAGGTACGCCTGCTCGCACAGGTCGTTGAAGCGGTCAGGGTCCATGTTGACCCATGCATCTCTGTCCGCCGGCACGTTAAGGTTGACCGGCGGGTCGCCCTGCGCGGGCCTAGCTGCAGCGGCCGCCGCCGCCGCCATGGCAACCGCGCTCCGCTACCATGCAAAACCCCGAGGAGGGTTCTGCACGGGAGCTCGGTGACAGCGATGACGATCGGTCACCTTTTTACTTCCGCACGGCGAAGCGAGTCTCGGTAGCTTCAGCCGTTAAACACTTGAGCCAAAGGTAACGGGGGCACCTTCACTCCCCAGTCACCTGAATGCTTACATGTTAACACCTCCACCTCCTCCTTCTCCTCCTCCTCCTCCTCCTTCTCCCCCTCCTCCGCCTCCTCCTCATCCTTCTCGTCCTGCTTATGGCGAAGCGGCTGGCTTTGGGCTAGCGAGGTGTGATGGAGGCGAGCGGTCTCCCCCTCAGCTAGGTGATGCGGCAACCTCGTGCCGCGAAGACGTGCGCACTGGTCTCTGACACCGCGTGGATCGATCGATCGACCTGGAACCATCGCAACTTCCCGACAGCGCAGAGCATTGGATGCCGGCCGCTTCCACGCCACTGCTGCTCACCGATGAGGAAAGCGTCGGAACTACACTGAAGCGTTCAGCGTGCAGAGTTGCCCCCCCAGTTTCTAGGACCCCGAAGTCCTGGCGTTGTAATTCTTTCACCACAAGCGTTTTCCCTCGGCTTCGGGCCCCTCACAGATCGATCCGGCCCGTGAAATGACGCGGAACGCTGGGGTCTGGGGGTCGGGGCGTGATTTTTTTACGATGTTGCATTGTTGCATGTTTTCTGCAACGACAGATCTCAGGGGTGCAAGGCTTCGCAGAACTCGGCGGAACAGGGCCTCGGCGGAACAGGGCCTCGGCGGAGCAAGGCCTCGGCGGAAGTTTGGGCCTGTTCCTGCCACCAGGGCCGGCTGCTCTGGTTGCATGGCCTCGTGTTTGTGCTCGTGAGTCTTTTTTTTGGGGGGGGGGGTCCAGGCGTGATTGTTTGCGATGTTGCAACTTTTGTTTGGCAGCGTCGGAGCTCAGGGGGCCGTGGCTGCTGCTGCAGGCCCCCCGCCAGGACCACCGCGGGCAGGCCCCGTGAGGCTTCGGCGGGCGGCGCGGGCGGGGTGGCGGCAGGAGGAGACATCCGCCCCTCCCATCGAGTCCAGCGGCAGGCAAGACGTCATGGGGACCCCTCTCCCTCCTCGCCCCTCCTCGCCCCTCCTCCTCCTCCTCCTCCTCCTCCTCCTCCTCCTCCTCCTCCTCCTCCTCCTCCCCCTCCCCAATCTTCCTCCCTCCTCCCTCCTTGCCTCCTCCCTCCTTGCATCCTCCCTCCTTGCCTCCCTCCTTGCCTCCTCCTCCTCCTCCTCCTCCTCCTCCTCCTCCTCCTCCTCCTGCGAAGGGCGGGCGGGTGGGGCAGAGGGGCGCGCCCTGCCCCTGCAGGTCCGCAGGGGAGGGCGGCGCCCCAAGCCTCGCCGCCGCCCTCCGTTGGGGGAGGGCTTCAACTCCAGTCCACATCCTTCCTCTCCTCCTCCTCCTCCTCCTCCTCCTCTCCTCCTCCCCCTCCTCCTCCCTCCTCCTCGTCCCCTCCTCCTCCTCCTCCTCCTCCTCCTCCTCCTCCTCCTCCTCCTCCCTCTCCTCATTTCATCCTCCTCCTCCTCCTTCTCCTCCTTCCTCCTCCTCCTCCTTCTCCTCCTCCTCTTCCTCCACCTTCTCCCCGTACCCCTTCGGCAGCGAGGCATATGAGCGGCGTGCTGCGGCGTGCGGGGAGAAATCTCAGCAGGCAGAGTCCAGCCTCTGGGGGAGGGCTCACGCTCTGTTTTGGCTGCTCGCACAGGGGAGCCGAACCGCCTCTATCCAGTCGCAACGAGGCTAAACATATACAGCAGCCAAAAGGCTGTGAGCAAAAGTCAAACCAACAGCCAAAAGGCTGAGCAACAGTCAAAAGGCTGAATCAGCATGGCCAGCTTGGGAAGGTACAGGGCGCTTGCATCGCCAATACTTAGCGTCACGTTGCGCGTCGTGCTCAAAGATCCACAATCTGCAGATGGCAGAAGCCGTCCCTGGACTGCGCTCGAAGTACTGTTGAAACGCAGGATGGACGACGATACATGACAAATCAGTCGCACGGCAGTGAGAAGAAAAGACCGTCGAGGGAGGATGCAGAGCGAGGAAGAGGGTGTATAGGCTGGGGGGGAGAGGATGAAGAAGAGGAGGCTGGAGGGGACAGGGTAGAGCGGGGGTACACGGGAAGTGACGGAAAATAACAGGGATTTTGAGGTGCAGGGAACAAAAAAGTACGCACTAAGACTCCAAGACTACTCAAACTCACGCCTAGAAATCCATTATAATATCCGAGTGTCACGGCTTTCACGGCGGGCGGGGAACATGCAACCGTGCAGAGGCGGCAGAGGCGCATTCGAAACTGCGTGTTGGCAACGCTAAGACACACACTATATCTCTCTCTCTCTCTCCCTCTCTCACACACACACGCACACGCGCCAATTGCATCGCAACTGCTGCCCGTTGGAAGGGACACCCTCGATCAACGGGGTCTCGAGAGCTTCGGGATTCTCGCTCAATCGCGCAGAATAAACAAGTCACATCAGCTTCGGCCCATGTTCTGCCTTACTATTCTCGACCAGACTGACACTGGACCTACGTGAGTCGCCATCGGAACCATGCTGAGCAGAAATCCGCAATTGCACGCCCTTTGAAGAAGATACCAGCTATACGACGGAGAGGCTCAACTTGGCCAAGCTCACACCGGGCTTGGTGTGGGATTTCCCAAACATCCTTCTCCTCCTCCTCCTCCTTCTCCTCCTCCTTCTCCTCCTCCTTCCTTCCGTCCTTCCTTCCTTCCTTCCTTTCCTCCTTCCTTCCTCCTCGCGCCGTGCCCGTGTCCCACTTTCGCTTCCTCTCCCTCTTCTCCATTTTCCCCGCCTTCTCCCCCTCTCCCCCTCCTCCCCTCCTCTTACCCCCTCTCCTCGCCCTCATCTCTCCCCGCCTTCTCCCCCTTCCCACCCTTCCCCCCGCACCTCCCCAACACCTCCCCCGCCTTTCTCTGCTTCTGCCCCATTCCACCGTCCTTCCCACTCACCCTCTGAACCCTTCCCTTCCACAGCTACAGAACATGAATACCTACGTGCTGCTCTCCTGTCTCCCCTGACTAGGTCTGGAGAGTGGCCGCCCCCCCTCCACATGCTGGCATTCTAGACGCACATACAGAGAGAGAGAGAGAGAGAGACACAAACACAGCCACAGCCACAGACACGAACACAGACACAGACACAGATACAGACGCAGACACAGACACGGACACCCACACACACACACTCACACACACACACACACACGCACACACACACACATACACACCCGCCCACACACGCACACACATACACTCTCACACACACGCAGACACACTCTCGCACACACACACACACACATTCACACACACACAGACACACACACACACACAAAAACACACACACACACACACATCCGTAGCCATTTTGGCTCAAGCGTTCGCACGCCTTGCCCAGCTCGGCCGTCCCGATGGCTGCTCGTGGCGAGGCTAGAGGGGCTCTCTCTGCCGCCGGTGCTGCCGCGCTCGTCGCTGCGGCCGTCCGCGCGGCCGTGGACGCCCATGCGCCGAGGCGCACTGTCGCCGCCGTCACCCGCTCCGCGTGCTCGGCCCTGGCCTTCGCCATGGCCGCGCCGCTGGGGCCGCGTGACGCTGGCGCTGGCGCCGAGGCTCGAGGTGATGATGGCGTTCGGCCTGGGGGTGACGCGGATCCCGCAGTGCGGGCTGCGCGGCGGCGTCGCCGACGCCAGCGCCGCGCGGCGCGGCGCGCGGCCGCCAGGGCGGATGCCGACCCGTCAATGATGGTCGTGGTGCCCCCCGCTGCGGCGGCGGATGGCGCCGCGGCGGCTGCTGTGGCCACTGGAGCGGGCTGTGGGCTCGCGCTGCTGGCTGTGGAGGCCGCCTCTGACATGGTCGATGAGGTGATGGACGACGAGTGGGCCGACGGCCTGCATCGTGCACCTGCTGCTGCTGGAGGTTCGGCTGGAGCTGGCGGCATGCCGCCTGCGGCGGCTGGGTCTGGTCGTGCGCGTGCTGGTGCGGATCCTGCGGAGCCTGCGGCGGCGGCTGCTGGTGCGGCGCCCGCGGCGATGACGGTCGACGACGCCGACGGCGAGGGCGGGTCGGACCTCGAGTCCGACGGCTGGGCGGACGCCCTGTCGCGCCGCGCGCGGCGGCGTCCGAGGCGGGAGCCCGCGGCAGCGGCGGAGCCAGCGGCTGCTGGCGGAGCTGCTACGGGGGCGGCGGGCGGCGTGGCCGCGGCGGAGCTGGGTGCTGGGCCTTCGGGGCCTCCTGCTGGCGGAGCCGCTGGCGGGGCCGCGCGGCCGCCCCCCCGTGGCGCCAGGGTGCGCGCCGCAGCGGGCCCTATGGCAGGGCGCGCGGGCCAGGTGGTGAGCTGCGGCGCGGAGCGCGCGTGCGTCTTCTTCGACGCGGACGGCCCGCGGCCCAAGGTGCGCGCGGCGGTGCGCTTCCAGGACCTGGTCCTGGTGGGAGGCGGGGCCACCGGTCGTGGGCCCCCCTCGTCGTCTTCGCGGTGATGCTCGGCGACTTCGGCTACTCGTCGGCGGTCGGCCTCATCACGGCCGGGGGCCCTGCCCAAGGTGGAGGGCGGGCCCCCGCGGGGGGGGGCGGGCAATGCCCGTCACAAGCACAGGGCTGTGTTCGACCACGGACGCGGTCTCTTTGACGAGCGACACACACACACACACGCACACACACACACACACACACACACACACACACGCACGCACGCACGCACACAGACACACACACACACACACACGCCAACACAATAATACACACACGCGTGCACACACACACACACACCCACACACACCCACACACACACACACACCCACACCCACACACACACACACACGCACACGCACACGCGCACACGCACACGCACACGCACACACACACACACACACACGCACACAATATCGTCTTTCCTGAATTCGATCCCTCCGCGTCCTGTTTTTGGGTCGTGGGATGCGCGAACTGACTTCGTATATTGGTTTCTACCCTCCGACTGCTCAACGTTTGGTGTGCAAAGGATGCTATCGCTGCAACGTGGACCTCATCTTCGGATCGACGCTGCGCTTCAGTTTTTCAGAACTGTGCTCCCGCCCAAGACTGAGCCACTTTTGGATCCCACAAATCTCGCAGGTCCCGCAAGCCCCACAAGTCCCACACGCCTCACAGGACCCACAAGTGCCGCAAGTCGGCCCACAGGTCCTACCTGTCTACAAGGTCTCACAAGCCCCACATGGTTCGTAAGTCTCGCATACCCTAGAGGTCCAACAAGTCTGACAAGTCCCGCAAGTCCCAGAGGTGTCGCATGTCTCACAAGTCCCACAGAAGCCCCCCAAGTCCCACAACTCCCGCAGGCCCCATCAATGCCACAGGTCCCACAAGCCTCGGAGGTCTCACAAGTCTCACGGTTCCGACAGGTCCCACAGGTTCCACAAACGTCGCAGGCCTCACAAGCCCCACGGGCCACAAACGTCGCCCAGCTCGAACAGCTCCCACAAATTTGACTTTCCCGAATGCGCATAACACGATGGGGTCGGTTGTGGAGTTCCAGGTTGGCCATGACGCACGTCCGCGGGCTGAGAAAAAACAGCGCAATGGGAATGGACAGGAGGGATTGATATATTGTCTGATGTGGCCCGAGCGCGCCTAATCTGCCCCACCCCCCTCGCCTCCCCCTTCCTCCACCTCCTCCATTCCGTTCCTTATAAATAACTCCTCCCTGTCGCACCCCGATGCCAGTCGGAAAGGTGGGCTGGGCGTTTCGCCTGATGCTTCCTTAAATGTTATGGTCCTGAAGCTTAGCCTTTGCAGCAACGGCACGGGTGGAAAGCGGGACGCGTTCAACATATGGTTCTCGACTTAACGCCGCACACATCCGTCTTAAACAACTGGACGAGTTGCACGGACTGAAGGCAATTGGCTTCCAAAATGTGGCTATCGCCTGCGCGCCGCGCACATATGCCTGAAAACATGTGCAGGAGTTTTACGGATTGAGGACATGTGGTTTTCACCATGTGGGTCTCACCCTAGCGCCGCGTACATCCGTCTAAAACATTACAAGAGTTTCACGGATGGAGGGCGGGTCGTTTTCAAAATGCGTTGTTCGCTTTAGCGCTGCGCACGCTCGTCGTATGAATTCCAAGAGCTTCATTGGTAAAGGGCGGTGTCGTTTCAACACGAGGTTCGCCTTATCGCCGCGCACATTCGTTTTAAAAGCTTACACCCGTTTCGAACATGTTCAATGTCCACTTCCTAAACATGATGTTTTGGCACGCTGTCGGGCAGTCAGGGTGCAACAATTATGTTGGTTCGTGGTGTTGGAAGTTCCAGAAATGGTGTTCTTGCACGACTCAAGATCGTCAAGGCGCAACAATGCACGGTGATTCGCGGCGCTGAAGTCCCGATAATGGTGTTCTGGCGCAGTTCCGGATTTCCAAACAGTCGTTTTCCAACGGAGCATTTCCCTCAGTCAGCATGAATCCTTGTAGGTGCCTATCAATATGAAGAGAAATTGTGGATGAGTTTGGAGGGAGGATGTATAATCATATCCTTGATGAGTCTTGTTTTGCACTGGTCCTCCTCTTCCTCCTCCTCCATCTCCTCCATCTTCTCCTCCTCCTCCTCCTCCTCCTCCTCATCCATCTCCTCCACCTCCATCTCCTCCATCTCCTCCATCTCCTCCATCTCCTCCTCCTCCTCCTCCTCCCCCTCCTCCTCCTCCTCCTTTTCCCTCTTCTGTCTTTGGTCCAACTGGCCTGCCGCCCAAGTGCCGATCGCCGTGAACCTTCAGCGGTGTGACTCGCCGAAGGGCGCACTAGCCTTGCCCCGCACTTGAAGAAGGGAAGTGTGAAAGAACCGCCGCGTAAATGCAATCGGAGTGGCACGCGTGGCACACGATGTTTCCTTGTCTGGCTGGCGGAGCCACATGGCAATTCATCAATTGCTAGTGGGTGTTTTTGTTCAATCAGGCAACGGCGTTGGGTGGATTTCTGTCTGATTTGGGTTGCGCATCTGGCATCATCAGTTACAGTATAGGGCCCTCCAGGGGAGTGCATCCTTAAAACTGTGCAGCAGTTCGTAAGGTGGATTGGGAGGGTCTGTCTTCGATGTTCAACGGGGCGGAGTTCACGACTCGTGGTGGGGAGGAGCTAGAGAGGCTCGTGCGGGCATCGTGCTGCGCCCCGCCATGCACGTCACGTTCGTGCTGCGCGTCGCCGCAGCATCAGCTACAGTGCGCGAGGGTGTTCCTCAGCCGCCTGGGAAGTGCATGTTGGCGTCTTTTAGATGATGGGCTGGGTTGCACACTGTTTGCAGAAAAAGCCGTTTCGAACCAATCCCTGGTGGCGGAGTTCAATTGTTCATGGTTTTCTGTAATCGGTGTTCGCGCACGGCGCGGGAGTCAGTCGTAACCTTGGCAGGCAATTATCGACCCCCGGTGGTATCCGTAACACAACAAGAACTCATTCATTCCGGAGGGGGGGCCGCCGAAAGATATCGCTAGCACCCAACATGATCAATGAATTCCCTGGGAGGGGGCAGCGAATTCCCAAGAACATTCATGGATTGTTCGGGGATCCTGCAAGAATCCTC